AAAAAGCAGCTTTACAACTGTAGACAACAGGCCAGTTGTACAACAGGGGGCATCTCAGCTGGACTGTGAACATGGAGCCACTACAGATCACACACCATGCCAAACACCTTGATCACTCTGCTCTCTGAATGCAGCTGCTGTGCTGAGCACACTGTGTTTACTGGGTGGATTTACAGCTGAGAGCTCATTTAATGATTTATACTGCTCCCCATGGGTTGGACACCACAGTTCATGATGTGCAGAATGTGTCGAAAGCAAAACAAACCACCAGAAACCCGATCAGATTAACAGAGACATATGTTATGGGTTTCAAACTGCAAGTTCAGTTACTTCTCTAAATCCCTGCATGAAGAAAACACTAAAACTGTCCCATCTCCATGTGAAGCAAAGTGCTTCTGCCAGTGTGTGAACCAGAAGTCAGTGGAACAGAAAGAAGTGACAACACAGATCTAGGAGGAGACAGAGATTCAGGGAGGAGCTAAGATGCTACTGAACTATAGAAGCGAGAGGAACATCCATGTTCAGCAGAGTTCAATACACAAACCAAACATTACTTTTATTCAACATGTCACTGGACCACTGTTGGTTTTCTCTGCTGTTTCTTTCCAGTCTAACAGGTTTGTTAAATTATACATTAAAATGTATAATCCATCAGAGTATCAAAGCTCTTCCTCTCTCTCCTCCCCTCTCACTGCAGACATGAAACTCTGGCTGACAAACATCCTGATTCTGACTCTCTGGAGAGGTAACTCTTTACACCGACTGTCTCCTTTAATCAATCATCTTTATTGATTCATCTCTTCCTCTGCATGTTCTGTTCTTCCCCAGAGTGTAAAGGAGAAGACAAAGTGACCCAGCCAGGAGGAGACGTCACTGCTGCTGTAGGAGACACAGTTACACTGGACTGTACTTTTGAGACCGATTACACAGGTCCCACTTTGTTCTGGTACAAACAAGAAGTAAATTCATCCCCACAGTACATGCTGAAATGCTACTCAGCCAATGTAGATAAAGCTCCAGAGTTCCAGGAAGACAGATTTAATGCTACGATGAACAAGCCATCAGCTCCTCTGACGATCCAGAAGCTTCAGCTGAATGACTCTGCTGTGTACTACTGTGCTTTGCGGCCCACAGTGACAGGAAACACCAGGACTCTGTACAAAAACCTCCAGAGCAAACACAACACAATGCTCCACAACATCCACTAGAGGGAGCCACACACTAAACTTTACTGCTCTGTAGTGACGTAGTCTAGAGTTACTGTAGTGGTGTTAATAAAAAAAAATTAAACACTGAAGATAATGCAGCGTTGTTGCATTCAGCACTTTTATGATAATGTAGAATATTTACTGTATATGATTTATACCTCATGCAAACACAAATCCTCTATCTTCTAAGAAAGCTCAGCTTTAACTCAACATATTACGTGTTATTTTAACTACTGACTAACCACACAATTTGAATCAACCATCTGCATCCACAGGTTGGAATCACAGTCTCTGGGTTTGATAGTTTTTTCTCTTTTCCCTCAGACTGGGTTGGACCACAGGGTTCAGTCCTAGGGCCTCTCACTTTTTCTTAACACATTGCCTTTAGATCACTTTTTTCAGTTTACATTGTTTTGATGACAGTGTCTGGCTATACAGTACCTTCCATTAAGCCTCAGTAACTCTGTTTATAACATGCGCTGTGCTGCTGCACAAGACGTTCCTGCAGCTGAGTCTGTCTACAACACAAATGCTTTTATTTGCCCCTAAAATCCTGTACACTAGGTTGAGCTGCACAGGTCTTAGAAAAATATGAAACTTGGATTTCTTCATTTAGAATTGAATCACAGTTTTCAGATATACAATAAAGCTGTTTAGATTTGAAAACTGAAGCTGCTTCTCAAAGCCCGGCAGCTTGTCCCAAAGCACAAATAAGAAAAACTATGTATGCTGAATGTGTTTCTACAAATTCATGAAATCATGTCTTTTGTAGTAACTAAAAAGTTTACTAATATGATTTTGTGTGACATTTTGGACCCGAGTTCAACGGCTTCAGATCCAGAAGCTTCAGCTCCTCCTGGGCTGTGAAGTCCACAATGACAGGAAACACCAAACATAAGGAATGTTAAAGTTGATTTTCTATTTTTTGCACTGCCAATTTTAATACCAGACATACATAGGCATTTCTTGAAGAAAATGCATGTGAATGCTAAGTGCTGAAGAATTGCCCTAGCAATGCTGAAATGGCAAAATTCCACTGCTGAAACAGCTGAAGGCTGA